ATCATTATTCATTACATGTTTAAACCTTTTTCCATTGTAAATTTAACAAGTCAGATAAATTATGATTCTGTTTTAAACCATTTCCATATAATATACCAAAACCTCTTATTCAATTTCTCTTTACTTCTCTTTACTCTTATTCAATATCATTATTATTATTTCATCTGATTCTTTCTGACTTAGTTACCATTATTCTCATTCTATATTTCTACAAGTTTTTACCAATTCTCCCCCCAATAAAGACATATACACACAACACACAAAACATAAAAAAAAATCTTTTTGGAAAGTAACTTGGACCCAGGTGTCTCTCTCTTCATGGACTTCAATTATATTCATGCTCATCTTACATATCATTACTTATTTTATTTACCATTCTAAGCCTTCTATATTAACTTCTCCACATATTTCACACTTCTTAATTCTACCTTAATTAATCATCTTAGTTTAAATCATTATATTTGTATCTTTTGTCCATTTTTTATCATCCCTTTGTCTCATCGCTTATGAAAAAAAAGAAAATCAGTTTCTCCTGAAATCATTAATCAGAGTATGATGCCTTTCTATCTCCCCCCTAAGTTAATCAAATTAATCTTTAAAATAATATCTAATACCCAATCAGATTTTGCTTGGTACATTCTATCTAACTAATACATCCAACACAATTAAGTGCATAATTAGACAATAAATCCAAATATTAAAAAGAAATACTATAATAAAAATTTTATAATAACATCAATACCATAATTTTATTAAGCTCTTTAATTAAAACAATATTCTAAACCTCTCCTATTATTAAGTTTTAAAGCCAATCATTTTTAAACATTTTAACATTTTAATCTCTTATCAACTCTTAAACCATTGCAATACTACCATCTCATCTTATGTACCTTGCAAAATCTTTTTTTTTTTAAAAAAAAATTATACTTTATCCATTATCCATAAAAAATTCCTTTTTTCCATTTAATTTCAAAACATTGTAGCTTTTCTCCACCTTTTCCCTTTCTTTCTTCTCCCAACAAACCTTTCTACCCCCCCTTCTTCTAGCCTCTGCCTTACCGGCTTCCCTTCTCTGTCGTATTTCTTTTCCCCTTTGTTTACAATCATCATATTGGTTTTGCACTTTATTTTTCCCTTTCTTAAATGTTTTTTTAGATCTTAAGTCCTTAAGTCCTTTAGTTTTCTTCTTTTCTCTTCTTTTCTTTTCTTTCTCTCTTCCTTTTTTCTGGATCAAATTCTGAGATTCATTAAAGATGGCTCCTTCCTTTCTTTCTTGTTCCTCTGCTGTCTTCATCTGTTGTAATTTTTGTTGATAATTAGTAAGCGCCATTTCTAAAAAAAGGAAAGCTTCTTCCACACCATCTTTACCATTTTTTTTTGCTTGTTCATATTCTTTTCTTAGTTCCTCAACAGAAAGAGCCATTATAAATCTTTTCTTTTCTTTTCTCCTTCTTTCTTCTTACAACAACCAGAATATTCAAAAGAAAATAAAAAAGATAAAACAGTCCCAAAGTTATCAATCAGTCCAAACCAAGGCAGAGTTCTCACTTTCTCCTTCTGGGGTAATATCAATCAAAGAGAAAGAAAGTCCAAATCTGTTTAAAATCTTATTACAATATATTCTAGTCTTCAAATCCTTAAGGCATCTGCTCCAACAAAATCTTAGCATACAAATATTTTCTTTTTAATCCTCTCTCTTCCCACTCATCGCTTAAAACCAATTTCCACCTAAAAAAATAGGTTTCTTAATATCCAATTATTTATTCCGTAGGAAAAGAGGGAAAGCTATCCTTTCAGCACCTTCAAGCAGCCGCTTTTTTCCTCTTCTGGCAGGTATTATTCAGAAAGTCATACTTTTCAGGAATTTTATTAAATATGTCTTAGAGTCCTAGGAGCCAAGAAAAACTTTCTCCTCTCAATCACTTTCTCCACTTCCTCCTGCGCATTCTTACCCGGCTGCCAGCTTCTTTGTGGCGGCCATTACGGACCGCCGCTGCACCGTCCTGGGAAAAGGGGGTTCTGCCGGCCAGGGAGGGGGTCTGCAACACCCCCAGTCCCTTCTCCGGATCCCCCCTACCTTCAGCTGCCCCTGCAGGGCAGCCTAGCTCCGTACCCGTGTGGGTCGGAGCCCCAAAAACGGCTAGCGCGGCAGGGATCGCGCAGCTTCGCAAATCCCTGCCGCTCGCGAAGCCGACAAACCGGAAGACCCCCCAAGAATCTTCTTCAATTCATGGGTTTTGGATGAGAAGCAAAATATTTTGGGACAACATGACCTGAATGTTTCAGAATCTCCATAGACATGTCATAATCCATTATGCTATTTTATTAACTGCATCCTTCCTAGCCCCCAAGCAGAAGAAAGGGAGGAAATGCATCTCCCAGGATGAAAAAGTGTGTCCCAGCTAATTACTGTTTATTCAGTAATCTGTAAATAATCAAACCATGATTTAGCATGCTGGATGAACAGGAAGCCAATTGACCAATTCCTGCCCAAAGGATATATTAATCTAAGTAATGTACACGTAACATGTAAAAAGAATTTGGGAATATTAGAAATATAAATAGCATTTTAAAGGAAGTTTCAATTAATAGGATTAAACCATCATTTTTTAATACCTGTCTTTGTCTTTAACTTCCACTTCTTAAATCAGGACATCTTCTTTTTAGGACCTTTTGTGGTGCTTTTGTGACACTCAGCATTGCTGCTAAATATCCTGCAAAGAAATCTTGTCCATTAAGCTGACGGCATCAAGGTGGAGACATTAAATCTTGTGTGGCCAAAAGGAAAATACATTATTTAACAAGATCATAGACTTGTTATAGGCATCAGGTACAGAACAATAGTGCTAGGACAATTGGCTAGGTCTGCCAATTTTTATCCCCTGTACACTGTTGATGGAATAGAAGCAGAGGTGGTATTCAGCAGGTTCTGACCAGTTCTGGGGAAGCGGGAGCGGAAATTTTGAGTAATTCAGAGAACTGATAAATCCCACCTCTGACTGGCCCCGCTCCCATCTATTCTCTGCCTCCCAAGTTCCAGCTGATCGGCTGGGTCTTCTTTGGCTGCCCTGCACAGGAGAACGGAGCTGAAAAGCAGGTTAGTGGGGTGGGGAGGGAATGGAGATTTTGCAGTAACCTTCCCCTGCCACGCCCACCAAGCCACACCCACAGAACCGATAGTAAAAAAAATTTGAATCCCACCACTGAATAGAAGGTCTATCCCAGATAAAACAGGACACCCCTGTTTCAACAAGAAATAAAAGTTCTGGTACAGGGAAGGGAAGGAGACGGAGATGACATCAGCAAGAGAAAGACACAGTCAAATGCACTGCTAAGTCACTCCAAGAAAAGCTCATCAGCAGTCACACAAAACTGAGCTCATGTGTTATGCAATAAAAGCAGTTCAAGCGAACCAATGAAATTAGCCAAAATGGAAGGCTGGTGGCAATGTGTTAGCTGGAGTGTGTCATGGGAAGGTGTCGGAATGGTACTGTGGAGTCCAGGTTCACCTCTATACTCAGCCACAGTGCTTCATAAGGTTGGGGGTCATCTCTTCCAACTTCCACCAGGACATTGGTAATGGATGACCAACAACCTTCTGGATATTATCTTTAGCCAATTGGGCAACTCACAGTATGTGTGACCACCTGTTCCATTGGCTGGCAGTGTATACAGTCAGAAATCTCTTCCTGACCTCTAGCTGTAAACTACTTTCTTGTAGTTTTAACACACTGACAAAAACAAAAGATATATCAGAGGAGTCTGGAAACACCATTTCTGGTGGAAACACATTTAATTAAAAGACAGAAGCTTTCACAAATTGTAACTCACTGCATCAGATGCCCAGGGCGGCAGCTAGACTGATGTAGGCTTTAAATTGGGTTGAGGTGTGGAGGAGAGAAGGAGGGAGGGGTAGGTTGGTTATTCAGATTCAGGAATCAGGTGATTACAAGGACCTAATCAATTAATAAATGTAATCTGTTAAAACCCATTGTGCTTGTTGAGATTTTCTGAGATTGCCTGAAGCTTTGAGTGTATGTGAGGTCAACAGTGTCTCACTCAGTGACACTATTAAAAACCCAACTTTTCCAAAATATTTATTTGTTCCATATAGATATTGATAGACGATGAACCCAGAGATAAGTGCAAAATTTATATTGCTAAGCGAAACAGTTGTTAAGTGAGTTTTGCCCCATTTTACGACCTTTCTTTCCTCCCTTGTTACCACAGTTAATCCAGTAACACAGTTGTTAAGTGAATCTGGCTTCCCCATTGACTTTGCTTGTCAGAAGGCCTCAAAAAGTGATCACATGACCCCAGGACATTGCAACCATCTTAAATACAAGCCAGCTGCCAAGCATCAAACTTGGATCACATGACCACAAGAATGCTGCAATTGTCGTCAGTGTGAAAAATCATCATAAATCACTTTTTTCAGTATTGTCGTAATTTTGAACGGTCCCTAAACAAATGGTTGTAAGTTAATGACTACCTGTTATTGCCTAAAATGCATAGGTTAGTACTAGCTAATCTTGTAGATGTGGCTGAAAGATAGAAGAAGTGAGAAATCGATGCTAAAAATAAAGGTTCCCCCCCCCAAAAAAAACACCAGATTTTTGATGCATTTAAAGAAATGGAGGAGTTCACTGCTGTAGGTCTGAATGTACAGGTGGAATATGTAAGGCCTCAGATTCCACCCACCTCACTGACATATTGAACATTTGAGAAGGGATGTGCAGAGTGTTTATTTGAAGGAATAAACATTTTCCATTAATTTAAAAAGAAAACAGCTTTTAAAATAAAAGAAAACAAGAGAAACCTCTTTGAAATTGCACCACCATATATTATTTTCTGCCGTGTGTATCATTAGTCCCAATAGTACTGAATTCTAAATAAAACTATATAGGATTACCTAGTATATTTTCAGCAAAAATGAAAAGAATTGATTTGGACAAAAAGTGTTAATTTTTTTTTTCTTCCTCTCCCCTCCTTCCTTTCAGAGTACAACTGTTCCTATTTCACACACTTTGTCTCAGGAGAAAGCACTGAGATCTTTGAAGTATCAACACAACGAGGTAAGAAGAATTGGTAAGCAGGCAACCTCTGCATTACAACAGTAGCATACCTTATGCCAAAATGTACCCAGTTCATCAGATTGGGATCCAGCTCTAAACAAATATGGGTTAATTAAACCAGTTATGGAGGAAGATGTCTAAGGGTACAGAATTCAGTGGTGGGATTCAATTTTTTTTACTACCGGTTCTGTGGGCATGGCTTGGTGGGCGTGGCTAGGGAAGGATACTGTAAAATCTCCAGTCAGAGGCGGTATTTGCCAGTTCTCCATACTACTCAAAATCAGTTCTCCAGAACTGGTCAGAACCTGCTGAATACCACTTCTGGTCCAGATGAAAGAGGTGAAGAGTCACACACTTATGGAAAGATGAACCTGAAGTCAGCCCCATCAGCTTTAGAGGAACATATTAAGTAGTCTTCCCTATTCATGGTATTGTTGTGGTTAGCTGGCAGCAGGTGCAGAGGGCTGAGGAGAGCGATGACTCTGATGAGGGGCCAGGACCATCAGGGAGTGGACTGCTGCCTTCAGGGATTGTGGGGGCTGGCAGCAGTGACGAGGAGGTTCCCAAGGAGCCTGTGCTAAGTGCGCGTGAGCGCAGGATGATTCATAGAAGAGAACAGCTGGAGCAGCACAGGTGACTCGGGAGTAAGGATGCAACGTAATGGCCCCTCCCTCCAGGGAATATAAACCTGTTTTCAAAAGGTTTTTGCTTTTGCAGAAAGCAAAAACATTCTAAGGACTCAGCCTTGTGTGTGGAGACTCCGGCTTATCTGAAGAATTCTGTCAAGGCTTTTCTGGTTGGACTAATTGGCTGCAAGCCATCTTTTGTCTACAAAGAAGTTATTGTGTTGGCACCAACACTGAGAATTCTGATGGAATACAGGACTGAATACAGAGTAACAAAGTTGGAAGGGTCTTCTAGTCCAACCTTGGAGGTCTTCTAGTCCAATCCCCTTCTCAATCAGGAGACCCTAGGCCCGTGATGGTGAAGCTATGGCACACGTGCCAGAGGTGGCACACAGAGCCCTCTCTGTCACCATGCGAGACGTTGTCCCAGCTCAGTTCCACCGTGCAAGCACGAGTGCCTCCCGCCAGCCAGCTGGTCTTCGGGTCTCTACCACGCATGCGTGGGGTGGGGCGCATGTGCAGGGGATGCTTGTGCATGCAGGGGTGCACATGCATGCACGGGGGTGAGGCGCAGGTATGAGGGACTCGCACGCATTGCATTTTGGGGATGCGCGCACGTGCTAAAAAGATTAGCCGTCACTGCCCAAAGCCATTCTGGACAAATAGCTTCCCACTGCAATTTCTTCTTAAAAGCCTCCAGTGATACAGCACCCTCAACTTCAGGAGGCAAGCTGTTCCAACGATTGTTTTCAGTTTTCAGTTCTGAGAATGGTAACCTTAATACATCAGATGTAGCCAGTGGGAAAACTTACACCCACGTATGTCGATGGAGATTATTCTCAGTCATCCAGGTCATGGTTGTTTCAAAGGTGCTTTTTCAAAAGGCAACTGGACTTTGTTTTTCCTTGAAGATATTTCGCTTCTCATCCAAGAAGCTTCTTGGGTAGGAAGAACTGAAGAAGCTTCTTGGATGGGAAGCAAAATGTCTTCAAGGAAGAACAAAGTCCAGCTGGTTTTTGAAAAAAGCACCTTTGGGTTCCACCCCCATAAGAATTTCTTGCTTGACAAACTTTTTAGGTGGTGAAAATACCAGACCTGAAACTCCTAGATATAATGAGAAGCATTTTCATTTGTTCTAAGAGAAGATCACACTTCAAGAATGCACCAAAGTTCTTCCTCTTTACTCAGAACAAATGAGTGACAGCCAGCCCTTGCTTTCAGCCTTAGGTTTCTCTCATTAAGAAAGCTTTTCATTTGTAAGTGAACTCTTTCAGCACTACCGCTGGATGATCCAATGCTTCATTACAGCTCTGCAAAGTTGAAATAGCAGCTTTATTGCAATTGTGCAGTGAACGTGCTTTAACTATCCCTCTGGGTTAATAATTTATTTCTGAAGTGATATTTTTGAACAGATTCACTTGCTGTATCTGTGGAAAAAAGGTATGCATGTCACACATCCTTGTTTTTAATCTGAAGAAGGATTTAACAGAAGACTCCTACGACAAGGGTCTAAGTTGGAATTTATTAATGCAAGGGTCTCTAAAGTTGGCAACTTTAAGACTTGTGGACATCAACTCCCAGAATTCCTATGCTGATTGGGGAATTCTGGGAGTTGAACTCCACAAGTCTTGAAAGTTGCCAGGATCGGAGAACCCTGTATTAATGAATCAGCTCCTTGCAAATGTTGATGTAGGAGATGACCAGGCTGAGCCCGAGGGAGAGGTCAAACACGTCATCAGTCTTGAGCCCACAAGAGATCTATGTCCGCTTCACCATGAATTCCATTGACTCTTCTCCACCACCAATTTGCTTGGACAGTTACTAGTTCAGATTCTCATAGAGAGCTTAAGCTTGCAATATATCTTTTTTTTTATAGTCATTTTGAGCTGCCTGGGCTTCTGATTTCCCGCTCTTGACAGTTATTTCGCAGCGGAGGGCTGACTCATGAAATGATGAAATTGAGAAGATGTATCCAAGCCCTGCTCTCAGCATCCCCATGTGCCTGGCTGACATTAAAGAGCAAAGTGTTGATTAATGTGACGGGCAGAAGGCAGTTCCAACCTTATTCGGAACAGAAACCCTGCTGGGATAGAACTGGAAATACCGAAAGTTTTGCAAGCACATTTTATTCTAGACGGGAGCGTGCTTTCTAAAGGTCTTTGAAATCTTTCAGCTGGATCCACAAACATCTCTAATAAGGAGGTAGAAAAATTAGGGAGCAGCAGAATTTCTACGAGCTTTTTCTCTTCCCTAATTTAGTCTGTAGGAGATGATTCTAGAATTGAAACAGAAGATGACAGGACCATTTACTTCCGATTCATCTACATGAGGGAAAAGCAAACTATTACCCATTTTAATTTTGTATTCCAAAACAATTTGTTTTATGCTGTAAGGAAATTAAGACCCTCGTCCTTATTCGTTGTATTATTTTGTTGCAATTCAAGAATCTCCTTCAGATGTTTCACGCCTTAGCGTTTTCAAGTCCGTCTATTCAATAGACTGCTAGCCTTTATAAGCTTGCTACTACAGGTGTTCCTCAACCTACAGCTATGAGTGAGCCCAACATTTCTGTCGTTAAGTGATACATTGTGTCAAGTGCATTCTGCCGCATTTTACCAACCTGTCTTGTCACAGTCGTTAAGTGAATCACCGCAGTTGACAAGTTAGTCACACGGCTGTTAAGTGAAACCGGCATCCCCATTGGCTTTGCTTGTCAAAGTCAAAAGGTTGCACAAGTTGATCACATGACCTTGGGACACAGCAATGGTCATAAGTATGAGTCAGCTGCCAAGCACCTGAATTTTGATCTCATGACCGTGAGGATATTACAAAGGTCGTAAGAGTGAAATAGGGCCATAAGTCACTTTTTTTCAGTCCCGTTGTAAATTTGAATGGTCATTAAATGAACTGTTGTAAATCAAGGATTACCTGTATTGAAATGAAAGCCAGTTTGGCTCAGCGATTAAGGCTAGAAACCAGGAGATTTCTAGTCCCTCCCTAGGCGCAAAGCCAATCATTTTGGGTCAATCATTCTCTTTGCCCCAGGAAGCAGGCAAGGGTAAACCACTTCCCCAAAAAAAGCTTGACAAGAAAATTGCAGAGATAGAAAAGAAATGGTGGCAAAGCCAAACCGGCAGACTTACAGTCAAAAAAGTATCTTTTATCTTTGGTAATCCTATCCGTAAGTCTAAAGAGGTGAATCAGAAGGATGTGTCTGCCATTGGTTTACATATTTACAATTGAAGGGAAGATTTAAATCAGATGAAAAGAATTATGGGTTTCATTTTGTGAAAAATGAATTGGAAATCCTACTGTGCGGTAGTGACGAACATATTGTCAAGGTCTATAAACTGTTATTGAACGTGAATTTGGAGAATGAATGTCTAAAGCACTGCATGATTCAGTGGGCAAAGGAACTTTGGATATAATGTAATGCTTGAACAAGGGGAGAGAATGTGGACGGAAGGTTTAAACATTACACTATTATTACTTTTTTGCCTCATGGGCCTCAGGGAAGCCTCCTGGGTGAAGCAGTAAGACAGTGAGGAGGATCCCAGCCCAGCTAATCGTCAGAACAGCTGATCGTTGGGAGGGAAAAAAATACTACTTTGGCTGAATCGGTAGCTGGTTTTTTTTTGTTACCGAATGGTAACATTTTTTACTAGCGGTTCGCCCAAACTGGGCCAAACCGGTAAAATACCACCACTGGATTACCCCTAATATCCAAGTTCAGCTGAGTAAAAACTTTGAAAAAGAAAGGGGAACAGGTAAGCAGCAGGCAATTGGGTGGATTATTGTATCTTTTCCCATTTTGCTATTAAGAAAAAGGTGGGATTTATAGCCTCTCTTTTCCTTGACAATTTGCACGTCGTGCTCTAGTTCAGAACCCAGATAGTTGTCCCTGTCATATCATATTAGTTTCTCAGAGCAGAAATTATTGTGTCTTCTGGAGCTGATTATGATTTTTCCTAGAGAATCGGACAAGAAAGAAGGGAAGTCTGTTACCTACTGAACCAGGAACACTACAATTCCATTCATAGATCCACTGCCTCACCATCTACATGTTTAATGCTGAATTGTTGCTTTGGCCCCCATCATGCGTTGCACAACTAGCTTATGTTTCTCCTATTTCTGAAGCCCTTCCCTTCTGATTGCCCAGAGGGAAACATTGCTCTTATGGCAGAAGTCCACAAGGATGTCCACCAGTATCAACATGGCAATCGGAATGGTGTGACACAGATAAAAATCAAGCAGAGCTTTGATTGTTGTAACCACCATGTTGATTTTTCAGACTGTCCTCTGTGGACAACCCTTTGATAGCTGGTGGCAGGTTCTTGAACCCTTTGATAGCTGGTGGCAGGTTCTTGCCTTTATGTTGCTTCCCCACTGGGATTAGATTTGTCAATGACCATTTCCTTTGGATGGAATGCTTGGTGTTCTCTGAGCTTGGTGGCTTTCTTGCAGATGTTTCATTACCAAACTAGGTAACATCATCAGTGCTTTCCCCCCTTTTTTTGGTCTCTTCAGAATACAGCATTTCTGCAGCTGCCATTGCCATCTTCAGTGTGGGCTTTTCCATCATCGGAACCATTTGTGTCCTCTTATCCTTTCGGAAGAAGATGGATTACCTCTTGAGGCCAGCTGCCATGTTCTATATGTTTGCAGGTGGGAAGGAAGAAATAGGGACATCAAGTTTACTTACATTTAGGTAGGGTGGGAAGAAGGGGCATGGTGGAAGAACAACATGACTGAAAGGAAGGTGGTGATGGGTGCAAAGAGCTTTGCTAGTCTAATCAAAAAGCCTAGAAATATCTAGTAGTTAACCTGGAATTCAGTTCAGCATAAAACTGAGGTGTCAACTCATAAAGCATTCCTATACCTGTTTTTGAGTTGCCATAAGCGGGGGGGGACCTGAAGGAGCAGTATGGCAATTAAAACCAAAAGTACATTCCATGCTTATCTTACAAAGATTGTAGCCTAGGCTACCGGATCTTCTGCCCTCAAAAATCCTTCATTGGAGAATGTGATTGATGACACCCAGCCCGTGAACATGCTTCATTGGAGAATCTGATTTATAACACACCCAGGGGGGAGGGGAGAACAGGGTCACAGGTAACCGTAAATTACGTGTGGCAGAGTTGGCTTCATATGGGTCAGTGCTGACATGTTGCCCTTAATAAGTCTTTTGGATTCTTTTGAAGCTTGGCTTGAGGCTCATGATTTAATTAGGGCAATCGCCAGAATCCTGACAGCAAGCCAACTCTGCCTTGACTTCCATTCCCTGCTCACTGCTTTCTTTTTCCCACTCCCCAGGCCTGTGCATCATCATATCAGTGGAAGTGATGAGGCAATCGGTCAAAAAGATGATCGCGAGCGATGACACAGAATGGATAGAGTACTACTACTCCTGGTCCTTCGCCTGTGCCTGCGCCTCTTTTGTCTTGCTGTTCCTCTGTGGAGTGGCGCTTCTGCTCATCTCCTTGCCTCGCATGCCACAGAACCCATGGGAGACTTGCATGGACGCCGAGCCAGAGCATTAAGTGTTACCAGCTCATGTTGCCACTCCAGCCATATCATATGCCTCCTGTTCCTCAATGGCCAGCTATATATATATATATATAGAGAGAGAGAGAGAGAGAGAGAGTCCAGGAGTCGGTGTGGGAATATCTTTGGATCATGCCTACTGAGAGAATCAGATAGGAGCTGAATGCAAAATCCCGAGATAAAAAGAAATGATGAAGATGACCTCTTTTGACAAGATGTGCAAAGACTTGGCTTGATCACTTGGCTGCTTGATTGCTAATACAGCCTGGAAAAGTTGGTATAAATGTCACTGAATAGAAATACAGACTTAAGAAAGAGATAAATTTTTGTCTAAATAGGAGTTGTGGTCACTTTTTTAGGGACAAACAACCAGATGCCCACCTGATGTTTTGGGTTATAGCTCCATTAATCCTTCATAATTGGCCATATTAACATAGGTCCATAGGATATGTAATCCAAAACATCTGATGGACTCCTGCCCCATTTGATTAACCCTAGGAATGATAAAGGGGGGGGGGGAGAACCCAAAATCATATTTTGTCAGTGTAGAATTTTTTCTCCATCTGTAAATAATCTTACCATCAATTTGGAGGCAGTCATAATGTTATTAAGCACATTACAAAAATAGATTCTAAAAAAAGATGTTGGATTACATGAAGACAGAAGAATCTCTAAGGCATATGCTTAGAGTCAACAGTGATGATTTTTATGATATTTCTTATATGTCAGCTAGTAATTTGTTGAGCTGGTATGATCGGGGAGTGACAGAGACAAGGAAATTGAATAATAATAATGATTTTGAAAACCAAATTGAATTATGCAGAGGGAAGCGGGCAAGGGATCTGCTCCAAGCATCAGCTAATATTTTTAACTACCGTCTTCCTGCATCTGCCACTGTCCAGATGTTTTTGACCACAATTCCCAGCTGGTCCCACCAGCTGGCTTTGCTGGTGGTGAATTACAAACGGTGGCGAATTGGGGAACGCTATTTGACAGCTTCAATGTTTCTAGAACAGCAGCAGTCACATTCCACAAACAGCCAACATGTTTTTAGCAGAGGAAAGAAACAAAAGCTTTACAGCCAGAGGAAGACACAATATGTATGTACATTTGAGTATTTCATAGCATTTGCAGCCTGGTTAGCATTTGTAAAGGACGAGAAGCTATTAAACTGGTTGAGTACAGGAGGTAAGAAGCTATAAAGGTTGACTCAGCCTTCCATCCTTCTGAGGTGGGTAAAATGAGGACCCAGATTGTTGGGGGCAATAGGCTGATTCTGCAAACCGCTTAGACAGGGCTGTAAGCACTGTGAAGGTGTATATAAGTTTAAGTATTATTGCTATTGCTAAATGCTTCAGATCAGGTGACAGAAGAACACCTGCCCAAGTACCTCCCTACTCCAAAAAACAAAAAACAACAACCCTGGAAGTCCACAATCCCCAAAAAGACAAGGACTAAATTATAGACACCTGTCTCAGAAAGCAAGGGCAAGGAAATAAGCTTTCTAATCTCAAAGATAATATTGTGGTTGCTTTTGTAACAAGTTAGAACTGAATAATTTAACAGCCAGCCTGTGTAATATGAAGTCAGTTTGCAATTTAAAAATCACTAAACCAAGTATAATAAAGCAGATAGCGTCATTATAATATTCCATCGCATTTTTAATATCAGTGTGTAGAGCAGTATATAAAAAGTGTCAATTGGACATAGCCTCTGAGGCTGGGATCTGACCAAAATGAAATAAAATGGAGCAATTAACTTCCTGTGATTTGGAAACTATGGTTCAGTTGATGCAACCTAAAGTTGCATTTGGCATTATTGCAGCTACATCACACGGCTGGCTCGTATTCCCTTTGAAATCAATTATTATTTTGCAGATCTTTTTCACAGACATCATTAACAACACAAATACCCCCCATCCAATAGTTGTGTGTATAGTTTTTGGTTATTAAGCTAAGAATTGTTTTCTTTACAGCAAGCTGCTTCTACTAATAGTTTATTCCGTTAGTAGCGCCTTCTTTCTTTGAATTCATAAATCCCCACCTTTTCTTATCACCTGGCATGGGGCCATTCATCCTGCCTATCCTTTGACATTTCTTTGGACTGCTACAAGCTTGCATCTGTTGCAGAAAAAGAAACCTGCCAGTGTATTCTGGCAAGGAGCCATGCCCATAAGCATTGCAACTCACAATTGCAGACTCCCCTTTTTCCCTTTTGCCTCTTAGAGCATAACCTGTTGAAACGCTTTTATTTCTTCTTGTTCCCGTCCCAGGATCTTAGATTAGCCAAGTATAAAATGCCTGATGCAGAAACAAAAAAAGTTGCTAGCTCACATGAAATCATAAAAGCAAATTCCTTTCATTATTATTCACTCGTTCATTGAGGTTCCAGGAACGGAGCTGCTTATCGTTCTCATGGTCTTTGCTTATTCAGCAGAAAGCAGTCCCTCCATCACCTACAATGGACAACTGGCAGCTCTTAAAGGAGACGATCTTTTCATCACCCCTAACTTCACATTCAGAACACTCTCTGATCATCCTCCTCTCCTCTCTTCCTCTCCTGTGGCAAATTCCTGCTAACCCTACCTCTACAGGCAGTCCTCGACTTACGATCACAATTGAGCCCAAAATGTATATTGCTAAGGGAGACATTTGTTAAATGAATTTTTGCCCCATTTTATGCCCTTGCTGGCCACAGTTGTTAAGCGAATCATTGAAGTTGTTAAGTGAGTGACATGTTTGTTAAGTGAATCCGGCTTCCCCATTGACTTCGCTTGTCAAACCTTTGCAAAAAGGTGATTGCATGCAACCATCATAAAAACGTGCCTCTTGCCAAGTATCTGAATTTCGATCACACAATCGTCAATGCGTGATCACATGCAACCATCATAAGTGTGAAAAACAGTCCTAAGTCACTTTGTTCAGTGCCGCTGTAACTTTGAATGGTCACTAAATGAACTGTTGTAAAGGGAGGACTGCCTGTATTTGTACTTTGGGGTAGTCCCACCATTGTCCATGGTTTCTCTGGTTGGTTTTGAAAACTTGTATTTTCCTTTGCTTTTTTTGCTGTTTGTTGGCATTCTTTGAGACATCTTTTCTCACCCTTTCTTGCTTCCTTTTTTAAAAAATTTTTAAAATTGAGACGGGGTTAATTTGGCGTGTACCAAGGAACAAATTGTCCCAGGGGTCATCTTAGGGACCAGTCACAGTTACAGCTTCCAAACGTTTTGCCAATATAACTCAGAAAGATTGTATATTAGCAACCTGTCTTGATTCATATCTCATAAGGCAGATATTTCAATATTTACAGTTTTCTGCCTCTTGCAATTATATCATCAGCTCACACTCCCCCCAAAATTGCTGAATGTGCCAATTACTGCTAATAGCACAGAAAATGCTTTTACAGAGAATTCTCTTGTCAAAACAATACAGTAGGCAAAAACCATATAAAAAGGCATATTTGGGGAGAGAGGAAGAAAGTTCATTATATTTCCTTAAATATAAGGCCTTTTAAAGAGAATGTATATGGTAATGTAAACAGGAGACAAAAGGAAATCCAGGATGGCAAAAAATACAGAACACAATGAAACACAACTGAGCTGTAGAGTCCTTGTTGCTCTCGGAGTTTGATTATTTTCTTGCAGACGTTACATTACCAAAGTAGCTAATATCATCTCTACTAGGTAATGTCATCTTTATGACTAGCACTGATGATGTTACCTTGTTTGGTAATGAAATGTCTATAACCAAGCTGAGAAAGGACTAAGGACACCACAGTTGAACTCTGAGCTACAAATATTCTTTTCTATTGGTAAACTGAGCTAAATGTACAAATATGTCCAAGTGTTTCAGGTATTATTTATTAAAGAGGTCTGATTTTCTATAATCTCTGTGTTGTCCAGTTCATCTCCCTAACATAACCATTCCTTCCTCCTCCCTGCATTGAGCTAATCCTGATTCACACAGTAAATATAAAATCTGGTTCTCCTTAATGGGACAGGCAAACTTTCACCAAGCCTCAGGAGGGCTATTCCAATCTTTAGCGTTGTTGATAATGGAGGGAAATTTTCATGGGAAACAAAATGTTTTAGCAGTGGATTTCACACGTACAAATCTCATACCATAGAAGAGTTTTGCTTTTTAAAGGAGTCATTCTTGACCTTTTGCCGTGGAATTCCATCTCCCTTTAAGAGATGCTGGGTCATCTGTCAAAACATGAAGAGAAGCTGAGAGAAGAATTTAACTATTGACAATAAGTTAGTCCTGAACATATACCACAGTTGGGGCTGGAATTTTGGCTACTAAGCGATCATTAATTGAGTCATTATGTGACCATACCTGGTTTTACTTTTTTACTTTTTTGCCACATTTTTAAGCAAATCTGGTTTCTCCCATTGACTTTGCTTATCAGAAGCTAACAAATTGCGATCATGTGACCGTGGGAATGTTGCAATGGCTGTTAAGTGTGAGGACTGGTCTTAAATCACTTTTTTTCAGCATTGTCATAACCAGTCATTAAACAAAAGGCCATTAGTTGAGGATTTCAGTTTTCCTCATCAGTTTAGAACAGAAAACTTCCTTGTTGGGCTGCTGGTTGGAGCTAATAGATGCTGTAGTCCAAAGACCTGGAAATATGTTGCTATCCATAGTCCTTTGGTGTCTTATCTAAAAGATGATTGGTCATCATTTGCAAGAGGAAAATTATTTATAAAGCCTTAGCAAGACCACACTTGGAATACTGCATCCAGTTTTGGTCATCATATTATTAAAAAAAAAAAAAGATGTTGAGAGTCTGGAAAGAGTGCAGAAAAGAGCAACTGATCAGGGGGTGGAGGCTAAAATAGATGAACAGTTTCAGGAATTGGTAATGGCTAGAGAAAAAAAAGAACTAGAGGAGACATGATAACAGCATTCCAATATTTGAGGGGCTACCACAGAGAAGAGAAGATCAAGTTATTTTCCAAAGCACCAGAAGGCAGGACAAGAAACAATGGATGGACACTTATCAAGGAGAGAAGCAACCTAGAACTAAGGCGTCATTTCCTGATAGAACAATTAATCAGTGGAACAACTTGCCTTCAGAAGTTGTGGGTACTTGAACACTGGAGATTTTTAAGAGACTGGACAACCATTTGTCTGAAATGATATAGGGTTTCCTGCTTGAGCAGGGAGTTGGATTAGAAGACCTCCAAGATCGCTTCCAACTCTGTTATTTAATTTAAATATCAATTATAAGAAGTTGCATTGTAGTTATTAATTTTGTGACAAATGCAGAGACTCTGGGAGCATATCAGGAGAAAAAGAGTTATTTGATGGCAGAATCCAGTCAGATAAATTATGCACTCCAGCTGCAGCTGAGCCAAAAACATGGCCCGCATGAATAGAAACCTAAGACATGAAAACCAATGGACGCTGCCGTGATGGAACTGCAGTTTCATCTTCAGCATGCTCCAACTTAAAGGTGCCACAACAGATGTGGAAGGGAAGCCTCTGCAACCTGCTTTCCATCACAGTTAAGCCAAGCAAAAACTCTGCAGAAAATTGATGGGATCGATTATATCCAAGAATCCATCTGCTCACTTCCACATTTCTCCAAAAAAATAAAAAAATGATGGCACATTTCAGGGACCTTGAAATCAGGATTTTAATAGGTGTTTCTAACACATTCTTTCCTTATCAGAATAAGGTCAGAGAACGAAAGATCAATATGGTTGATGCCTTGAAGATGAAAAGGCAGGAAAGAAAACGTGTGTGTGTGTGTGTATGTGTGTGTGTGTATTCATATTTTACAAGAAACCAACCCAATTGTGGCAAGTGGTTTATGGATGGGGCTTTCTCTGCTGCCAGTCACACTGTATGTGTGATGGTGCTGCAGTTCCAGGAACTCCTGCCCTAGTTCTGCCAGCTACAATTGGCCAACATGCCTGAAGAGCACCAGGAAGTCATTAGGACTAAATATAACCAAGTTGACTGCTCCAAGATGTAGTTTAGCCTTCCCTATAGCAAAAAGGAAGCACAAAAACGAATTCTTTAAAAATATGGATGCTTTGAATCAAGTCAGATCAGTTCACCGCCATGGACATGAGATATTTGTACTGGAAACACAATGCACTGAGAGATTTTCAATATGATTTATTAAAAAGCTATTTTAATTATGAATACATTTTAAATGTAGCAGTAAGATACATTTGGTGCTACCATTTGAAAAGGAAAAGCGCACCGAGAGACCATCATTACACTGGAAGATAGATTTCGTTAGACCTCAGTCCTCAGTGCTGTCAAAGTTGACAATCACAAAAGTTGTTGAAGCACAAAGCACCTTTTGGGTTTTACAGCAGTGACCACTAGGAGACAGCAGATGCAGTTTAAATGCCAAGAAACAATTCTTGGTGCTTTGCACAACTTTTCTGCATGACAAAATTAAAGGCTTTTCTCTACTCCTCGAAGGGTGTTTTTATTTTCTTTTTAATTGCATGGAAGGCCCTGTTCATTTCTAAAGAAAGATATGTGGGCCTCATTTGAAACATGATTTTGGCGACACTCTTCAGGATGTTTCTTTGCCTCTGTGTGCATGTGCACACACAGGAAGAGGTTTTTTTAAAAAAAAAATGTTTTCATCATTCAACATTTGTGTCTTGCTCAAAATCCATTTCTTCCTTTCCCCCAGTGTGCACACTTATGCACACTTTTGTCTTATTACAATTGCTTGGGTGCATATTTGCATAAACCTAACAACTTGGCCATCCATGCAAGAGCATTTAGGGCCAGCCACACCGATAGATCATCTGGGTTATCTGGCTGTGATCTGTGGATTAGTCTAAGAAGGAAAAGGACAAAGATCTGGGCCAATGTAGAGGGAATCTGGATGGGAGATTGAAGGACACTAAACTTATGCGTGGGTGGTTCTTTAGACAAAGGGTCTTTTAAATTAAGCTAATTTGCCAGTTATGTAATTATGTTCCCCCAAAATTGAGCAGAAACTTGTAGATTTCCATGAATGGCACCTCCCAAGCTACAGCTTACTACCCAAGGCTCAACCAACCAACCAGCACCTGTCCTCCAGAGCTAGTTGGTAGCTCACTCCTGTGGCAATTTCTCTACTTCCACTTCTGTACTGAGACACTAAGCAGTATCAATACTGGCCTGGAAGGTTGTGGGTCATGACAAAATTTGTGTCAGCTTTTCTCTAATGGTTTGAGTGTACAAGGCTGAGATTCATATTCCCAAGGTCTTCCATTTCCAATTCTGTGCTTGGCTCTGTATAAGTTGTATGTAAAATATTGCTTCTGTATAGGTTCTATACATCATCAACCACAATGTCTTTTGTGTTAGCCTCATACAGTACAAGATACCTTTACAAGTAGTAACGTTAATTATGGAGGTTCACATCTTTGGAACCTGCGTAAGCCCCAAATTATTACTTTACAGCTTACTGGTTGCTTAAACTTTGCCAGAGAGCTATAAGGTTTTAAATGATTTGAAGTTTTAATTCTCAAATAGTTCTTTTATGGCAACTTCATACAGATCAATGACTTGGGCAAAATAAATATTATTCTTTCATGCTGTTTTAACCATTGCTTGCTCTTGACTTTTTCTGAAGTAGGAGCCCATCCATCATGGCTTAATACAAAATGTACAGTCAAGCCTCCATGGGGTGTTCAACAAATATAATATTTCTACTTTAAGAGAAATGAGTAAATCTGGTCTGTGTAAAGGCTCTAACCTGGAAGATTCTGCACATGTTGACTAAAGGTTCATTGTTAGTATTGGAGGTTGCGATTAGTGTGAATTTGACTAATGCAATATTTTATTTAGTGAGAATCGTATGTTGATACCAAGTTGTATTTAACGTGCCCTAAAATTCAGTTAATACAAGGCTAGCAAGTGTGCAAATTGCAATAGCTTGCAGTTTAACATCATCCTCTAGAGATAAGCAGTCCAGGTTGGGTCAGATAAGGGAGGAAACAATAGCAAGAGATAAGCCTTCTTTGACCAACATGACAGAAGAAACAACAACAGAGCTAATTACAGATGGGAGGCAGTTGAAAGGGCCTATCACAAGTGCAAGGGCTAAATTGATTAATGATATATAAAGGCAGAGATCTCTGTAATGGTAGCTTAATACTCTGATGATGTCAGCAGAGGCTGATGAAAGCTTAATAAGTACAATAAATGTAATTTTAAGAAAATATATATATTTATATGTTTTCTTATGTTTTGCGGTTATTTATATGTATCGTATTTAGGTTTCTTCGGGTATTTTCCCACGTCTTAATATTTGTGCTTTTATTATATTATATTATTTTTATTATTATATGCCAAAATGTTGCTATAATAAAAGCATAAATATTAAGATGTGGGAAAATACCCGAAAAAACCTAATATATATATATATAACCACTGTAAAAGTCTGACCCACAGACGGACACAATACAGAAGCCTGATGATGGCAGATGAGATTCTGCTGAAACGTTGCTACAACTTTAAAAGAACTACAATGACGTGGGAAAATACCCGAACCAAGCCGAACACCATACATGTAAGTACCCGCGAAA